GGTCAATCGCGACTATCGTTCACCTGTTTGCACGGCTAAGATTATGAGACAGAGCCCATCAGCGAGACTAATCTTACGGCCGCAAACAGTCGTGGCTATGGTGACCACAGTAGCAAAAATGACCGCGAAAACTGCAAAAGCATTCCATTGTCCCCACAATATCGCAGAAGAAACCGGTGTATGGTACTAAGGCTTATTTTTACCCCAACCATAAATCGTCGGTTATCTTAACTTGACTCTTAGATGGAAATCAACCGATGTGCTGTTCACATCAATTACAGACTCCCGAACTCCGAGCAATAGCTAAAGAAAACAACTTGCATTGGCCCCATTACTTCTGTTCTCATCTGACTGATATATGCATTCGCTGATTCGTATTCATATTTTACTTTGCGATGCTCAGATTGGTCCCAGCCGATTTAATTCAAAAATAAGACTGATATTTGACACAGCATTTTAAATAACCCACCTTTTTACCATCAAATTCGATTTCTTTAACTGCGATGGAGATGTTTGTGATGAGCACTGGACAGCTGTTTCATTCTGTTTGGGACTCGTCACCAGTGCGTGCTTTTTAGGTCCCTGTGAGGACTCTAACCACGAAACTTCGAGTTGGAACATCAAACCGTTACTTTTACCTTAATCTATGGCGAGTTCTTCTTAAAAAGGGATGGCCTGAAAATCGATGGGGCTTCCCTCGACAATGCCACTCATGTTTGACCTTCACTTCAAAAATTGTGCCCGGTAGAACACGAAAAATACGCTCGCACAATCCACCGGACCTCAAATTGGAAGAAACAGTTAAACACCTTAGCATATGCTTTGGTGAACGATTGTCTTTGTTCGATATACACCATCAATGCCTAAAAGTGTCTGAGGCGGCCGAGACAGATTTTGTTTCCTACGCCAGCCGTGTTAATCATGAATGCGAGCGCTTCGAACTCAAAGGCCTTACAAATGATCGATTCAAAACTCTTATTTTTGTCTTTGGTCTCCACTCCCCTACTGAAAGTGACATTCGCACACGGTTATTATCCAAACTCTAAACTGACATAGAAATTACGTCGCAACAAGTTACTGGTGAACGCTAGCGTCTAATCAATTTAAAACAGGGTGATAAAATGGTCCAGCAAACAGGGGGCCTACCAGTCACTGATGTGAATGTATTAACTGCACAACAGACCTCGCATCACATATTGGCACTGTGGGCAGTGGCATTTCGGTCGATTTTGTGCATACAGACAACATAAATGCGAACTGCGTTGGTCATAAAGAAACCATCTGTCACCATCGCTCCGAACCAAAACCGTTCAGTGTTGCAAGCACCAGACGTTCGCATTTTTGCCATGAGTGCCCCTGATTGCAAATGTTATCGAAAGTATGTTCCCATTTGTATCAGTAATCGAACAGTCAAATTACAACTGGATACGGTCTCTGATATGATCATCCGCTTCTGAACCACCTGGAATTTACTGGCCGATCAGTGTTCCAACAAACCACCAATATTGCTCGGGCAGCATCCGGGGAACAAATACCATTTGCTGGGCAGTTCAACTGTGAGCTTTCATTTTGTGATCGTCACTCCCGCGGCACTTGTTACATATCTAAACTCGATCATTTGAAGTTCCATGGCATTGATTAAATAGAGAAACTGAATTCGTAGCAGACAAGGTCCCTTCAGTGGAGCCCATCTCACACTCCAGCCAGCTGGCCGATGGTACGTCAATAAAACGTGAAAAATGTGAGTGTTGTCTCTTCCCGTTTAAAAACTGACTAGCACAGCGTGTTATCGAATGGTCTTGATTTATGCAGTAAAACAAAGGAGGTCGCTCCAAGTTATGCATACTGACCAGCTATGGATCAGCAAAGTGAACACGAATTTAAAACTCGCCACATTTGTTTACCGGCAGTTCAACTACCACCCAAGTATGAAACTCAATCAAAGCAAACTGCCGTGGCTCCCTGGTTACACACCTATTTTGATCTTTCTGGCCCTGTTGAAGGTATGTATTACCTATAAAATTGTTTATTCATATTCTA